GGACCCACTCCTCTGGAATCGGAGGAGTGGGTCAAAATCCTGTTGAGATGGCACTTAATCACACCTATCTTTTGAGTCTTGGGCCCATATGACTAGAAGTCTTGTGTAGACTGGAAAGTGATGGCCCCCTTGTCCCAGATGTCCTTCTGGTTTTTCATCCTGGCCTCGCAGCATACAGCCGGGGGACTAGCTTGAGTGAGAATTTGGCACCCCAGAAATTCGAACTCTCCGTTGCGATCGTCAGTCCTCACTAATGTAAGATGATGGTTATAGATGGAGCTGAACTTTAAGAAGATACCTCTAGCTTTGTCCAGGTACGTATGAGACGATTTTGGAAGGAGGAGAAAAAGAGCCACATCATCAACCAGCCGGAAACCATCAACTAAACGTCTGTCCTTCCCAAGAGAGTTAAGAAAGCAGACCTCTTGGTGGGCACACAGCAGACAAGCGAGAGAAGGGCTGGAGCTTTTTTTCCATGGGAATGCCTACAATCTGCCAAATGATAAAAGAAGAAACTTTACAGAAGGAGTTGTTGAGGTCGAATCGGACGAAGTCAATTAGTACACGGAACATAATCCTCACCCAACCTTTCCCAGCCATGGCCCTGGGATTGGAAGGCAATGTGTATGTGAAACCTGAAATCCTCTTCAGATAGACTCCTTCACTCACAATCTTTTCCAAAACAGGAAGGTGTGCGATAGTCTGGACTTTATGGCGCCGACGCTGCATGCATGAAATGGAGGGGACAACTGTCTTAACTCGAAAAAAACGCACATACATTGCGTACGAATACAACATACAGGGTAGTGTATCCGAATACAACGTACGTACGTTACAGAACGAGTTTCAATGTACAACTTCTACTGTCCAGTTGATGTAGCTCAGTGGTTAGAGCACCGGTTGGAAATGCGCATTGTGGTATGAGGTTGAGGGTTCAAAACTTAATTGCAGCCTTGTGCATGGACACCGTCAGGGCGTTAGAATGACGCACGGCTGGACACACATTCCTTTGGGCTGACGCACGGTAAGCTTATACAGACACTGCCTGCGCACCACCCAAGGGTTGTCCATGGTGTTGTATGTCGGGTTATACTGAGTGGGTTGCTTGTGGCTGTTGCTCGTGGTTGTTCTGTTGATCTCCCCAGTCTAGCATATCACACACAGGGGCCATTTGCGATTGTTGCTCAAATGGTAGAGTCTTCAGATCACATGTCATAGATCACAGTTCCGAGTCTGGGTTGGGACTTTTGGGGGGGTTCTTGTCCAGCTTGGCCTGTCGTCTCTTCAAACGAACACATAGTTCCCTCTACATAGCACTGCACATATCTGGCCTTCGGGAACATACATCTCACTATACCGGTACACAGAGCACACATAGACTGCACATATCTGGCCTTCAGGCACATACATCTCGCTATACAGTTACACAAAGCACACATAGCCTTCGGGCAGATACAAAACACATGGCCCTATGGGCTCATACAAACATACATAGCGTCTGGGCACACACACATACACACAACTACGATACTGGGCTGGGGGGGTCTATCAGGTATATGACGGGGTCTACTCACGCATGGCTTAGCTCTAGGGTAGAGGTAGGGATATAAGTCGCTCTGAGTAGTCTGAGCTCCGCCTAACCTTGGGTAAGCTAGGGGAAGGACGGTAGGAGGTGTCCGCGGGCGCTGGCCTGCCTTGCCTAGGTAATCCTGCTGGGTAGACTCTCTGAATTGGGCCTGTAGAAGACTGCATGAGCCTGGCATCTGAAGTTCCCGTATGAAGGTTCTTCCGCTTCCGCTTCCATCAGGGCTGGGAGGTTGGCTCAACCTTGGTGCTTGTCACCGCTGTCTGGTCCAAGTTGCCCTCGATACTGGTGGGGTGATGGTCCTGAGTGCTGGTCACACTGAGGAAGGATAGTAGGGACAGGGGGTGCGTTGGGAGTATTAACGTGGGGATGGGTAGGGTAGGTGGCCTATCCTGTCAGGAGAACCATTGGCTGCCGCTACCAGCAATCACCACGGGTCTGGTCCTTGACCTCTACAACACCCTGGGCTTAAAATTAAAAAAAAAGGAAAAAAAAAGGAGCTTGTAGTACTGACGTATCTTTTTGTTTTCTCACATTTGGTTGAGAATTTCTCCAAGACCCTCAGGCAAAAGTTGTTTACCAAGTACCTGGTCCCGTTAATTTGCAGAAGAACCCCCCGCAGTATAATAGTGTTCCTTACCTATGGTATGGGTTCAAACTTGAAATACCTGACACCCAGCCCAGTTGAGGGCAACCCTACTCAGGCGGTACTGA